CTTTATGTCATTTCATTTGTTTTGGTCGATGACGACATTTCTGTAATTCATTACCAGTCAAATTATTGATGAATAATGTTGGATCCGAGACCACTTCTTTCTCTCCTCATTTCTCTTCATCTTTCGATTTTATTTTGACTTTTTGGATCGATGAAGTCTTGTAAGACGAGATCCCACTGTTTTTGGTCTGTGCGACACGATTCAATTAGAGAATGATCCTCAATATCGTTTCTCTATCTTGTCCATAACACGAAAATCAATACACGACCTCTTAAAGTTTGACTTCCCTTATAAGTCAGGCTATGACGGTTTAGCGTCACAACGGTCCCGACCCAAAGCATCATCAAGGATCAAAAGAGGAGAAGATTGGAATGGAGCTTGCACACAATGTCAAGGGTCAACGGAACCACTCTGTTCAGTAACATCTTTCTAATTCAAGTCTTTTAATCAACCGCCGAGCGTTGTGAGTTATAAGCAATAGATACGTGGGAAATGATGAGTGTGGGGCCTCCTCTCATTCATCTAGAGTGTTTAGCGTATGTCCTTTGAACAATATGTGACGGATTCGCTCCTACGCCTTAGGTTCTAGCGTGTGTGTCCCGAGTTCCTTCCCGTTTAGGCGTGTTAGGCCTGCTTCCTCTTTTCTCTCGCCCCCGTGCGACCGAGACTCCTTTCTCTCGCATACTGGCGATTGAGATCCCCTCTCTTGCCCCCGTGCAATCGAGACTCCCTTTTCTCTCGCCTCTGTGCGATCGAGACCGTTTTCCGAAGTTAGCCGAACTACGACTGCTCTGATCTCTCATATCTGTTGAGAGTACGTAGGCATAGGATTGCGATAATCCTAGCGAGCACTTTTCCTTTTTCCCCCTTTAGGTAACCCATACCTTTTAACCAATGACATACTACATCCATTCTACCGCAAACAGGTAACGCCTAAGTCTCCAATGGTCGAGCAGTAATACACCTAACTGCTAGAATACGTGCGCTAGTATCGTCTACCTTTTCTCTCACCCTCGTGTGACCGAGAACACCCCGTTTACCCGTAGTTGGCCTGAACTACGTTTTGCTCTAATTTCTCGTACCAGACAAGAATACGTAGGCACAAGACGCGAGGTCATGGCGAGCAATCCCCCCCTCCCCCCCGCCGCCGTAGTTTCCTGAACTACGTTGACTCTGACTTTCCCATTGCACGAGAGAATACGTAGGCATAGGGCGGCGATGTCCTATCGAGTCAGTTCTTTCCGTTTAGCATTAGCAGCCGTAGATAGTTTGTTTTTCACCCATAGACTAGGCAACAAGCGTGGATCCCGTCGAGTACGATGGACGTGAGGGGTGCTAATACCTTCCCCTTGCGTAACCGACTCCCGAACCCTGAGATTTGGTTGCAATGACCTGTCTTATTCCCTTTTTGTTAGGTTTTCTCTAATCGTTTCTTTTCCCTCTCTTTGGGATAAATAATAAACGGTGATGACTCTTCTGTCCTTGTCGGCCCCTCTTCGCAGCGATGCGACAATATGCTGTAATGACCTTGTCTTGTATAAATTGATCTATGATTCAGTTTACATCATTTTCTATGTGCTTTGATTAAGGGTCCATGAATTCGAACCCCCACTCACAAAAAATCTCTCAAGAGAAAAGATCCTTAAGTTTTTCATTGAAGCTTAAGGAAGTTTGAGCCAACACTTAAAACATTCATCCATTCACCGGAGAAAGAGGAACAAGAAGGAGAGGAAGTAGAGGAGGATAATGACATAATCACACCAACAGAAGTAGAAAGAAGATAAGGAACTTAACTGAGGTATGTCGCGCCAGAGTTCTCGCCAGAGTTTTAGGATTTGACAAGGCTTCATCCCTCATTTTCTTTTTGTTTACATGCTTATTTTTGTTGCTCTATTATTTGTTGCCCTTTAATGTGTTGTATTTGTGCATAATTTGGATGTTTGATGTTGATTTAAGGGATTAGGGATAATTTAGGGATGAGCCCGATCTAGGCTCATGGTTGTTTATTTAGTTATTTAAGTGTTAGAATCATGATGAAGGGGAGAATTAGGTAGGGTCAGTGTTGGGTTTTTTTGGATTTGAGGTAAAAATGTAAAAAAATGGGTTTTTGTTGAACATCTTCATGATGTTCATTTTTTTTATTGGAGGAGCACCATGGTGGATCTATTTTTGAGATGAACGATTTGTTTTAGAGTGTTTGTACGATGGTGATGAGGGAGAGAACTGAGAGAATTATGATTGAGGATAGAGAGAGGTTTGAGGCGAATGACTCCCACGTGAGGCGCCTTTGCTTTTACCTCTCTCTCATCATCTCGCTTTGGCCACACATAGCCCATTTCCCAGCCTTTAGATCTGGTTACTTGTTATGTTGACCCGAGGTGTCATGAGGGATCCCCACCATAGTTCTCACACACCCCGTCTCTTGGTCATATAATCTTGGGGTAGGCTTATCCTAGGGAGGAGGTTGAGTCAAGGCGTTGACTCTATCGACTCCTTTGGAACAGGCCAAATTTCCTTCTGGGCCAGCGTTGGGCCTTATGGCTATTCACACTCCCTTTATTTCTTTCTTACAGAATTTTTTATTAACTTTTTTCATGCCTTTGGGCCTTTGGTTCCCCTATTGTATGATTTATTTCTTTATCACATATCCCCATTTTACATTCGTGCATACCCCTTCCTATGTGATTTTATTTCATTTATTATTCTTATTTCATTATTTTTTTAAATCATTTTTTTAATGAAATATTGTAGTAAAATAAAATCAACCTCATCTTATTAACAAAAATCTAGATCAACAGCAAGAGTTTTCAAAATTAAAATTCAAGCTCCTTTTATCAAATTCAAATGCTTTTCAAACACGAACCAAAACGTCTAATCTTTATCAAACTTTTTTTAACCTAAAAGCTTCGCTAAAATATTTTTATTAATAAAATCAAAAGAAAAGTGACATTGGAGTATACACTCCATGAAAACCTTGAATTATCGGTCCCAAGGTACACGTCTCGATCTTACCGAGCATTCTTCTTCCGTTCAAAAACACTTGACCAAACTTGGATGAAAAAGGACATTGGAGTTTACACTCTTTGAAATCCCGAACAATCGCCCCTGAGGGATACGTCTCGGTTTCCACAAATAAACTTCATAAACACTTTGGATGAAAAAGGTACATTGGAGTATACACTCCATGAAACCTCGAATAATCATCCCTGAGGCACACGTCTTAGACTTACCGAGCATTCGTCATCCATCTAAAATAAACTCAACCAATTAAACTATATTTTCTACCTTAACGTGGTGTCAAAGCCTTTTCATTAAACGAAAGAATCTTCGTCCATTTTGAGACTGTGCAAACAAAGTTTCGTTCCTACCATGCACAAAAAGTTAGAACACTTTCCGGTCAAATACGACGAGGACATAACTCTGTGAGATTTCAAGTTATGTTGTCCGTTCTGACGCGATGCTAATGTTCACTTCTCCCCGTTTTGGGTAGAAAGAAAATGTTTTCTGTTCGAATGCGACTAAGTATCCTTTGCTAAAATCGACCTACCAACAAATATTTTTTACCTAGAATTACATAGTCTTAAGTTCTCCATCACACCTAGAGATATGTAGGAGCAAGATTCAAAGTCTCGTTCGACACCCTAATAAAAAAACTTATTTTTAGTCCTTTTCTCTTTTCCTCTAAAACTTTTAATAACTAGAAGAAACAAATGAAATCTAACATTCATATTCATAAATGTAATTAAATGGTTCCTGTTAAGTACAACAAATGTGATGAGTGTTAATACATTCCCTTTACATAATAGACTCTGGAGTCGGATTTGGTTGCAACGACCATTTTTTTGTTTTAAGGGTTTTATTGAAATTTTCAATTTTCTTTTGGAACAAATAAAGTTTAATGGCGACAATGTTATCATCTCGAGCTTGTGAATGCTCGTGGTCATTTTTTACGCAGCGATAGTTGGTGCCTTTGCTAGGGATTCTGATTCCATAAAAACAGTCAAGCATAGTCCCGTACCCCAAGTTTTGACCACTCTTCTTTTCTTTTTTCAGCTAACTTAGAATTTAGATTACTGATATGTCTAGTGTCTTATACAAGTCATCTGGTCAAACACAATGACCTAAAAAGTCAAAAGGGAACCATTTTGACTCTAGGAGTTTTGATCTCATCATAGTTTAGCTACTATTTTTGAAATTTTCAAAGTATAATTTTAAATTTTGTTTAATATATAGTTTCATTTGATTAAATAATTAGGATAACATATAATTATTTTAGAAAAAAACTAGAACTAACTTACTAGAAAATAATTAGAATAGCTCTATTATTATTATTATTATTATTATTATTATTATTATTATTATTATTATTATTATTATTATTATTATTATTATTATTGTGACTATTATTATTAGTTAGAAATTAATTATGGTTAATTATTAAAGTTAAATAATTTATTAAGTATTTAATTTATATTATTCTTAGTGGAATTTCATTTTGAATGATTGGGATGACACATTTGATAATAACTTGAGCGCAAGGAGTTATGAGTGTGAGAGGTCATGAGTTTAAGTCTCACCCTTCCCACTTTTTTTTATTAGTTTTCACTTTTTTCATCTTATTCATAAAAATATCCAAAAAATCATAAAATAAAAAATATTTGAAAAGATTTTGTTCACATTTTTAAATATTGCATTTTAGGGTAGTGATTATATGGTTTTATGAAAGAATTAATTTGATTGATTAAAAAAAAGTCGCAAAGTCAAAATCAATTAAAATTGATTTTTGGACTTTTGATTATATTTGGTTGATCAAATTGATTTTTTTCCCTTTTTAATTAACCATAATTTTCATCAACAAATAGTACATATTTTGACACTATTCATTCATCCACAATTTACTAAATTTAGTATCCTAAAGTTGTTGCTCATCACACTTAAAAACAACACCGATAATTTTTACAATAAACAAGTACTATAAAAAAAGGTGAAAGGTTGACTTGATGGTGACGACGAAACGGGGACGAGGGCGGCCGAAATCCACGGTGCCACTGTCACCGAAGACTCTTACTAGCTTGAAGACTCCTGAGATTGAATCAAGAACTACCACCGTAACAGATAAATATGTGACAATCACACTCGAGAATGAAAACAAGGAAACCCTAACAGAAATGATACAAACACAACCGGAGGAGTGTAAACTATGGGTTGATGTTATTAATGACAACCGGAACCCTGCAAAGGGACTGGCCATGGAATACGTTGCGCCAAAGGTCGTCAATGAAGTGATTGAAATCGATATTGAACAAGAAGATATCGAAACGAAAATACAATTTTGGGATAATGCTCTAATCCTTTATGTTGTGGGGGACGATTTGAGTATGAACACGGTGAAGAACTTTATGCAGAGAATGTGGAATTTCGTGAAAATGCCAGATCTTTATTACCATGATGACGAATATTTTCTGCTCAGATTTAACTCCCAGGAAGATAACGAAGCAGTCATGATGAAAGGCCCATACAAGATTCGAAATATGCCCATGATATTGAAGGAATGGCAATTTGGTTTCAACTTAAAGAAGGATCTGCTAAGAACATTACCAATATGGGTCAAACTCCCCCAACTTCTCCTGCATCTATGGGGGGCAAAAAAGTCTTAGCAAGATTGGAAGTGCCATTGGCAAACCGTTGGTGACTGATGAGTGCACGACGAACAAGTTTTGTGTATCATATGCAAGACTACTAATTGAAGTGGACATTAAACAACCATTTATTGATGAAATAGCCATTAGAAATGTTGCAAGAGATATAATAATGCAGCCTGTGAAATATGAATGGAGGCCAAAATTCTGTGAAACATGTCAAAAAATGGGGCATAAATGTGAAGACCGAGGGAAGACCCAACAATGGAAACCAAAACCCAATCCACCAGAAACATCCAAGATCATAACGCCCATAAAACAACCAGAAAGAGAGGAGGCAACAGGGGAAGGAAGTGAATCTTGGACAAGAGCGAGAAAATATGTACGAGATAAAGGTAAAAGCATATTGATTGATACAAATAGCAACATCAATTATAACAATGGTTTTGAAGCACTTGAGGTTTTGAATGACCATCAAGTGACCACAAACCTTGAACCATGTTTAGTCTCATGGAACATAAGGGGACTCAATAAAGTAGGAAAAATTCGTGAGATTCGGTCCCGTCTCCAAGAGCTAAAGCCTGCTATTATCATTTTGATTGAAACTAGAGTTAAAGAATCTAAAGCCAAGGCCATTCGAGAGAAGCTGATGATGTATGATAATTACATGGACAATTACAAGGACCATACAAATGGTAGAATCTGGATTCACTGGGATAGTAACAGGGTGGATGTGAAGTTCATACAAAGTAGCAACCAATATATCCACAGTGGTATCTATGATAACCTTGGAGTTTTCAAGCACTGGTTAATTGCTGTATATGCTCATAACCAACTAAACAAAAGGAAAATCATGTGGAAAGAAATAGAATACATGTCTGGTAACATCCAAGGACCTTGGTGTGTCATTGGAGACTACAATAATGTAACCAAAGCTCAGGACAGAATGGGAGGGAATCTAGTGGCTGAAAAGGAATATGAAGACCTGAAAAAAATGATGGAGAATATAGGTTTAAGTGAAATGGATAGCATTCATGATCATTTCACATGGTCCAATAAACAAGCAGCTGGACCCATCTACTCAAGGATTGACAGAGTTTTAGGCAACACTGATTGGTTCCTCACCAATATGGAGACTATTCTAAAATTCCTTCCACCTAATATTTATGATCATGCCATGCTATATTTGGATTGTAAACAAGAACAGAGGAAAACCTCCAGACAGTTTAAGTTTAGCAACTACCTTACTGAACTACTAGGTTATGACAGTTTGATCAAGAAGAATTGGGATGGCCATATTAGGGGTAGTCCAATGTATGTCCTTTGGCACAAACTCAAGAGATTGAAGCACGAGTTAAAAAACTTCAGCAAACCTCTGTATGATGTTAAAAATAAATTGATATCAGCTAGAACCAACCTCAAAGAAACACAAGAAAAGCTGAGGAATGACAGAATGAACAACACCTTGATTGGGAAGGCAAAAGATCTGACTGAGGAAGTGATATCCCTGAGCAAACTGGAATGGAAGATACTACATCAAAGGGCAAAGATTGACTGGATTAGAAAAGGATATGGAAACAATCAGTATTTCTATGCTGCTATCAAAGGCAGACATCACTCCAACTGCCTTAACAATATAAAGAAGAGTGATGGCAGGTAGATAACAACAAAAAAAGACATTGAAGATGAAGTGATTAATTTCTACAGAAACCTGATGGGCAAAGATGTTGAGAAAATTAGCCATATTGATATTGAGGCCATGAGGATGGGAAAGCAACTTAACATGGATCAAAGGGAATACCTCACCAAAACCGTTTGTGGTATACTGCGATGCTTCTAAGTTTGCTTTAGGAGGTGTGCTCATGCAGAATAATAAAGTAGTTGCTTATGCTTCAAGACAGTTGAGAATCCACGAGAAGAATTATCCTACGCACGATTTAGAACTTGCTGCTGTTGTGTTTGTGCTGAAGATTTGGAGGCATTATCTTTATGGTTCAAGATTCGAAGTGTTCAGTGACCATAAGAGTTTGAAGTACTTGTTTGATTAAAAGGAACTGAACATGAGACAACGAAGGTGGTTGGAACTGTTAAAAGATTATGATTTTGGTTTACATTACCATCCGGGAAAAGCTAATGTTGTAGCTGATGCCTTAAGCCTCAAGACTTTGCATATGTCATCAATGATGGCTAAAGAGTTGGAATTGATTGAGCAATTCAAAGATCTGAGTTTAGTTTGCGAAGTAACACCGAAGAGTGTAAAGTTGGGCATGTTAAAGATTAATAATGATTTTCTGGACAGCATCAGAGAGGCTCAGAAATTAGATGTGAAGTTAGTAGATTTTATGCCTGGAGTAGATCATTCAGAAAATAGTGATTATCAGTTGGATGCACATGGCATGTTGAGGTTTCGTGGTCGTATTTGTATCCCTGATAGTGCAGATATGAAGAAAGCGATTTCGGAAGAGAGTCACAGAAGTAAGTTGAGTATTCATCCAGGAACGACGAAAATGTATAGTGATTTGAAGAAGCTATTTTGGTGGCCCGGTATGAAGCGTGATGTAGCACGATTTGTGTATGCATGTTTGACTTGTCAGAAGTCAAAAGTTGAGCATCAGAAACCTGCTGGGTTGATGCAACCATTAGAGATTCCATAATGGAAATGGGACAGCATTTCAATGGATTTTGTAACGGGTTTGCCGAATACCTTGAGAGGATGTGATTCTATTGGGTGATTGTTGATAGGCTTACAAAGTCAGCTCACTTTATTCCTATTAACATCACTTTTCCGGTATCGAAGTTGGCAGAGATTTATGTCAGAGTGGTTGTTAAGTTACATGGTGTTCTGTTGTGTATTGTGTCGGATAGAGATCCGAGGTTTACTTCTGAGTTTTGGAAGAGTCTGCAAGAGGCATTGGGTTCTAAGTTGAGGTTGAGTTCAACATACCACCCTCAAACAGATGGTCAGACTGAACGGACTATTCAGTCTTTAGAAGATTTGTTGAGAGCCTGTGTTATGGAGGAAGGTGGTTTGTGGGATACTTACCTTCTGTTGATAGAGTTCACTTATAATAACAGTTATCACTCTAGTATCGGAATGGCACCGTCTGAAGCTTTATATGGTCGGCGGTGTAGGACTCCGTTGTGTTGGTATGAATCGAGGGAGAGTGTAGTACTCAGACTGGAGATTGTTCGGGAGACTACTGAGAAGGTGAAGTTAATTCGAGAAAAGATGAAAGCTTCACGGAGTAGATAGAAAAGTTATCATGATAAGCGCAGGAAGGATTTAGAATTTGAAGCTGGAGATCATGTGTTTTTGAGAGTCACGCCTGTGACTCGAGTTGGTAGAGCTTTGAAATCTAAGAAGCTTACTCTTCGTTTCATTGGTCCGTATCAGATATCGGACAGAGTGGGAAAGGTTGCATGTCGAGTGGCGTTTCCGCCTAATTTATCGAATCTGCACGATGTATTTCATGTGTCGCAACTCCGCAAGTATATTTCAGATCCGTCGCATGTCATTCCTATGGACGATGTGTAGGTACGTGATAATCTTACTGTAGAGACAAGGCCTATGAGAATTGATGATCGTGAGGTGAAGACGTTAAGAGGAAAAGAGATTGCCTTGGTGAAAGTGGTTCGGTTGGGAGCTGCTGGAGAGCAAGATACGGGAGTCTTATCCCGAGCTGTTTGATTGAAGTAATTTCGAGGACGAAATTCTTTTAGTAGGGGAGAGTTGTAACGCCCGTTTTATTTTGATTAAATTTAATTATGACTTTGCCGTGTCTCTTTGTGTCGTAGTCGTATTTGAGTATATGTTTGTCTCGAAGAAAGGAATTGAATCGGTCGAATTTTCGGGCAAAAGTGCAAAATCCCGTAGCAGTTTTAGGGAAAACTTCGAAAATTTATATCTCTTGACCCGTAAGTCAGTTTTAGTCTCCGTTCAAAGCGTTGGAAAGATAAAGAGATGTTCTGTCTAAAAAAAAGGAATTTTGCTGATGTGACGCTCGTCATGAGCTTGTTACGGTCGTCACGATCATGACGCTCGTCATGAGCTTGTTACGACCGTCATGGCCTTCACGGTCGTGACGCTTGTTACGATCGTCATAGTAATAAAATCCAATTAGGCAGAATTGGAACGTGGTTATGAAAATGATGAAAGTTTAGTAACGTATTCTCGTATTCCCTTACACTCAATTCAGTTGGCGAATTTCGCAAAAGAAATACCGTAAAGGAAGAAAGAGAGTGGCTGAGAGAAGTTGATAACAGAAGTATATTATCCATCGGAGAATTTGCAAGGCTGTGACAGAGGAGCCACCATGAAGATAAACCAGAACTAGAAGTCTAGGATTGACCTTAATTCCAAGGTAAGGGTGGGGTTCAATTCTATAACCAAGGGTATGATAGATTTCTTGAAGGGTATGGAATCATGGGTTTAGTACCGTAGATTGATAAATATTAGAGATAAGAATTGTCTGTGTCGGAAGTAGTATTGTTTGTCATTGGTTTATGTGATACCATGTCAATTACCGGTCGAAGATTAACGAAACGCGCCGTGAACAGCTAGATAATTAAGTGTGTAATAGTTGTGATGTCGTTCTGCGAAAATGTCTTGAGTTCTTATTTGTTGATAATGATATTGTTATTGTCCCCTTACATGAACAGATTGAGATGATGAATACTTGATGCATATGAACTTGTTATGTTACTGTTGAGGAAATGTTATTATAATATTCTCATTTGATTATGTTGATAAGTTGTAGTTATATGATGATGGGTATGTCTCTGTTATGGACGAATTGGTTGTAGGCTTAAATGCCTTGTTGAATTAGTTGTTGCGGTTATGTTGTAGTCCATAATAGTTGCATTTCATGGCATATCATCTTGGTTGGCCTGTATTGGCGATTGGATGGCCTGTATTGGTGGCCCTTAGTGGCAAATTGTTGGCCTGTATTGGCGGCCCTTAGTGGCAAAATTATTGGTTGTGCCTGTATTGGTGGCCTTAATGGAAAATTGGTACCACA